GCATGCCATGAAGAGCTGCCCGAGAACATAGAGGCCCTGATCACTTACATACCAGAGGCTGCGCGGCGCGAAGTTGAACTGGCCAACTCCTGTCTTCCAGGGGAAGGACAGCGCAGCTTGCCGCGCCATGTCCACGGTGATCTCTGGAAGGGCCTCCCAATCGGCAGCGTCGCTCGGCAGCTCCAACTCCTTCTGATCATGTATGCGCCAGATGCCGTGCCAGAAGGTGACAGATTTATCCGCAAGGGCGTAGGGCTGCGCTAAATCATTATTCAGATTGCCCCAATCCAACAACTCCTGCACCGCGCGAGCTTTCGTAAACCGGCGTGCTGCCCCCGCGCCTTTTTCGAATGAGTTGGCCGCCCAGGTCGCCCACGCTTTGAGGGATGACTGCGCGTGCTCGTCTAGCACCGCCTGCGCCCGATCAAGAATCGCATCCACCGCGTCATCAAAGTGTGGGTCGCTGAGCAGCTCACTTCCCGCGGCAAAAAATTGCTTGACCCAGGGATCGATAGCATCAAGTCCTTTTGATGGGAGAACTCGAGCTAACCAGCGCTCAAACTCAAGAGTGCCAGGAGCCAACTTGATGTACGCTGACGTAGGAGACTCCACCTGCAATCCAACATCAGCGATGAGCATCTCCATCTGGTGCCGAATGGACTGCCGTGTCGATCTGGCGTGGCGGGCCCGCCTGGACGCTAAAGCCCACGCTTGCTCCACAGGCCCACGCTCCGCCAACTTGTGCGGTGCCTGTCGTTCCAGCTTCGTCCACTTGTAATGCACTCTGCCGGCCGAACCTCGATAGATCGTGGACGCGCGACCCACCTTGTCGTACCTGCCCAACAGCTCGCTCTCTAGCGCCGTGAGCACCGCGTCCCACGCATCCTGCAGAGACTGTGTGCACTCAGCAGCTTCCACCAATTTCAATGCTGAGTCCCATTCAACAGGGAAGCGAGAGCAACCAATCGCAGGTACCTTCGGCAGCGCCTTGGGCTCAGCAAGCTCCCGTACCCAGAAGACACGGTCGCGGCCATAGATTGGGAGAGCTACTGGCAGATGAGGAAAGGTTGTGGCATCTTCGCGCACCACTGGGATATCAATCCTCGTGACAAGGTTCGTCAATATCAGAAAATAATCGATGCGTGATCCAGGAACAGCCTGGCGGCAGGTCGTCTCCTGAGCTCTGGCCACCACTCCACCCAAAGAATGCAACCAGTCAAGCGAGCCCAACTGTTCCACTTCCATATTGAAGTCTCCACAGACAACCCAATCGAAGCCATGAGCCGCGAGCTGCGTCAGGTAGCAGCTTACCTCGTGCAGTATGGACAGATTGAATTGAGACAGCCCTTCATTAACCGCCAAATAGATAGACACTATCACCAAGCCGCCTGGGACTCCCCAGTGTACACGCGCAGCCATTGCACGCCCAGGCACAATTACCGGGCTGTCACGATGCGGAGGTGACGTGACCATCGCATGGCCTCGCGTTAGAAACGCAAGGCCGCCGCTGAAGCCCCCAGCGCCGGTGGTGAGAGCGCTCGTCCAGACGCCCGTCCAACCTTTATCAGCTGCGCGTGCCTGCACATCCGCCAGTTTAACGTCACCTGTGCGATGCTCCTGAATGGCCAGCACAGTGTCTTGGCAGCCCACCAAGAATTCCACCAACTGCTTAGAATCAGAACAGTTCAGGGTAGTGATGCTGCCCTTGACGCTGACCTCAGACTGGCTGCAGGCGTGTTGGTTGATGAAAGGCATGTGAATCCGTCCTGGCTCCTGGTGCAGGCCCCTCGGCCCATTGGGCCCCGCGCCCGACGGGCCCCCGATGCCAGAAGCCTCAGAACGAGGTTCCCAGGCAGGCCGCTTCCGATGCCTAGACGGTCCGAGCCTCCGAACGTCCTGAACCGAGGCGTTCTGACGGGGGACGTGGCGACGATGCGGCACGGCGTGTGGCCAAGAACCTGGCACCTCGCCGTCCTTGGAGGGCTCGCGGGGAAAGCCCCCAGCCTCGTGCGAGCTACCAGCGCACATAGGAAAGATGCACGCCGAACTCGCAGCAGCACTACCAGAAGACGGCGGAGGAGGACCATGCCTGGGCAGCAGAGGGCAGGTGTCAGAATCATCATCGTCGGCCTCCGCTCCACGGGCCGCGGACAAGCCCGGGGCACTGGGAAGGGCCGCTGCCGCGGGCGAACCGCCCCTTGCCGAGCCCTGCGGCGCACCGCTAGGCTTCGGCGACCGACCCCGCAGAGGGGGGACCCTGGCATTGGGGTCAGCAGCGGCGGCAGCGGCGGCCTCCCCCAGCGGCACCACCCCAGCAGGCTGGGCAGCCGCCTGCGGCCCATCGGGCGCTGCAGCTCCAGGCGGCGTGTAGCGCCGTATGCTGCCATCAGCGTGGGCACGCGGCATGGCATCCACGCCCTCCACCAGCAGCGCCAGCAGCAGTAGGCGCATCGCCCCGAGACCACGCGCGCCGCAAGCCCTAGTAGGGCCCGAGCCGCCCTGGGCGCCGGGGCCGCCGGAAGGAAATTCGAAGACCCCAGAAAGAGCCCTAGTAGGGCCCGAAGCCTGTCTGGAGGCGCTCCTTCTGGTGCCACTGCTCCGAGAGGAAATCGCGCTGTCGCTTGTACATGGCGCGGAGGGTGGCCTCGTCTTGGCCTCCAATGTTCCCCCCCTCGCCTTGCATGCCGCCCAGCCACGTCTTAATCCCCTCAAGGTCGATATCATCAGGCATGAGGTCAGCAGCAGAGAAGCGGCCAGCAGCAGCAGGGCCGGCGGGAGGGGCAGGCCGGGCAAGCCCAGCGCCCGCCTCTTCGCCTGGAGCCGCACCGCCAGCAGCGGCAGGCGCAGCCGCCGAGCGCCCAGCCTCCGCCGGTGCTGTCGCGAGCTCACGTTCGGCCTGGGCGGCCCTCTCGCGTTCCAGCTTGGCGGCTTCGAGCAGCCGCATGTCAGCCAGGACGGAGGTGAGCCTGGCGCCGACCGAGCCGTCGTCGCCGAGCTCCTGGAGCGTCTTTCCCAGCGCCTCGACCGAGATGCTGCCGAGCCCAGGAACTGCCTCGGCCGCCGTAGCATTCTCAGCCGGCGGCCTCGCCATCTGCCCGCACAAGCTGGCGTGCTCCCGCTGCAGCTCCACCAACTCCTCCGTAGTGGCAGATAGCGCCGCAGCCGCTTCCTGCCGCTTGACCTCGAGCTCCGTCTGCTGCAGCTCGATGGCCTGAAGCGCGTCGGCCTGGGTCTTCTGGCGCTTCTCGACCCGCAGCTGCTTCTGGGCCAAGTCGCGGATGCGCGTGCCGACAGGGCGAGCGGCAGCCACCGCGTCGCGCAGGGTCTTGCGCTCCTCCTCCATGGCCTTGCGCGCCGTGACCACCGAAGGCTCCTGCACCTGCTGGACCTGGGCGATGGCCACATCCAGCTCAGCGATGCGTGCCTTCTGCTTGGCCTCGTCCGCCTCCACCCCGCCGTCAACGTCCATGGCAGGCGCCGAGCGGGGCGCGGCCTCCGCCTGCACTAGGCGGGCCTGCACCGAGGCCAGCTCGATCTCCAGCTTGGCCACCTGGCTGCGCCAAGGCGGCTCGGCGGTGGCGGGGGCCTTGGGCTGCACGTGTTTGGACGGCTTGCCAGAGCCCTCGTCGCGCGGGCACAAGAAGGCGGACCCTTTGGCCACGTTGCACTTCGTGCACTTGGCTTGATCACCGTGATTCCACCACGCCTTGCCACTGGTGGGGTGCTTGCACCACTTGCAGCACCATGCAGTGGCCAGCGCGGCACGATTGCCATGGCCCCCCTTGGGCGCCATCCTGGGCCGAGACCGACGAGGCTGCACGCTAGGACCAAGAAGAACGCCAGGGAAGGCGGCGTGTTGGCTGAAGCGTCGGCGCTATGGAGCGCCGATCCAGACCTGGGCGAACAGGCCGAAAGGATGAAAGCAAGCTCGGGGAACAGAGCTATCCCGTTCTGGCACGAGGGCGCGGAAGCCCTCTCGTGCAAACATCTTGAGCCAAAATGGCTACGGAAGAGGATGAGGAGGAGGAGGAGAAGCAGGAGGAGGAGGAGGAGGG